TTCACAACCACCCCTATTCTACTTTTGAGAAATAAGGATAAACTACCTAAATTTGCCTCCTCTATGTGTATCTACCAGTTTGACTGCAGCTGCCGAGCCAGCTACATCGGGTGTACAATTAGGCAGGTTCATCATCGTATTTCCGAACATCATCCAGCATGGTTAAGCAAGGGACAAACAAGATCTATTCGTAGCTGTATTTTAGCACACCTTGTAGATAGTGAGCACAAAGTTGACGTTAATACAGCATTTAAAATTACTTATCGCATTCCTACTAACCTTAATTTTGCCTTACGAGTTCGTCTTCTACATACAGCTGAAGCAATAGGAATCCACCTGAAGAAGCCAAACCTGTGGGTTCAGAAGTGGTTTGTACAGCCATTCTCCTTAGCTTGACTATCGTTACATGAATGTATAAACCGGACTACTTCGCCCCCCTCCCTCTAAATCTTTTAAAATTATAATCGTTCAAATCGTTTTATCTTCTTAAATAATCTGTTACGTAATCAGTCCATGCACACGCCTATTCCTTAATTACTTTTCATTCTTCCAAAATTATGTATTATGCAATCCACGTGTTGTAACCATTTATCCCTTCAAATTGCGTGTATTCATTTCCTTCGTTAATTATCACCCCACTGACATGTTGACACTGATTAATCAACAAACGTATCGCCACTTGATTGGTAAATCGGTGTTTTGTAATAACAATGGCATTAGTTAAATGCTGTGAAACTCATGTAATAAAGAAGCTGAATTCTGATCGATTGATGGCTCAGAAACAGAATTTGAAGGGAATCTGGAAAGCTGTGACTCACTTGTCTAAGCTCTTGACTACGAGCTGGCGGGTTACGAGCTCGAGGACTGCTCCACTTGCTGAGGTTCGGTCAGCTAGGTACTATGATCAGGCCTCATACAATAGTGAAGCGTAGTCACATGATATCCGCTTTTTCTGCAAATATGATATCTTTCACTATATGTCTATTGATCATGAGTCAGTGATGACTCACAACCTATCTTGTCTGTCAATCAATTAAATAACAATGTATGACTTGAGATGAGCACTTCGGTGCAATCGGTCGATGGGAAAATCTAAAATTAAATTAAATGTATGACTTTTGTCACTTTACATTGAGGCGAATCAGAATCCAGTTGGTGGTAGGAAAAACTTACTTTATCTATTTTATTGGTTCATATATGTTAGTTATTTCCTTATACTATTGTCTGTACAATTGACACTTTACATGCACACTCTTGTGTGACGGTTAATTCCCCTTGTTGTTGGGATAATATACGTATCCTTCGACAGCATGTGGATCTTCTAAATTACTCTTTGGGTCAGAGAAGTTTAACTGCTAAGCAATACCAGTCGTTCCGTTATTGTCCGTTGTATCTTGTTAGTCATATTTATACTCGATCACTCCATAACAAATAGTTGTGACTCATTTACCCACTGAGTGGAAATGCAATTGGTGACTGAGTAAGAATTATCCTCACAGATTTGCTGCTTTCAAGGAAGTCTTTGTTATCTTATCAAATTATCAAACGTAAATGAGTTAAGCTGCTTTTGCTTGGCAAGAAGTCAATTAACAAAAACGATTTCGTTACAAGTATTTTCCAAGCCAATCTTATGTCAGCTAACATTGTCCATCGAGGAATTCGATGGCTAGGGAGGCGTAGCACATGTCCTAGCTATCTCAATGTATGTACCTTCACAACTTCACCGAATGACTTCCCTTACTTACTTACCTAGTACTTTATGCCTAACCTCTATATAGCTCACCAATTAATAACACGTATCACGGGAGATGAGACGTAAACATCTATGGTCAAAGATCGCTGTTTTTTTTGATGTCTTCCACTTTTAGTGGCCATTTCTCACAACCATAAAGGAGGAAATAGTGAACTTCTGTGCAGTTCACATATCCTTTAATTGGTAATCGGCCATTACTCATGTCTACGTCGACGATGACGTAAGTTGGCAGGTGCCACATAAACCTTCCTTATCTAGGTGAGATTTCGTCAGCAATCAGTCCACTAGAGGTGATGCAACTTCTCAAATAATTGAAGCGGTCAACATACTCAGCTACTTCACTCCCTATCTTTAAATTGGAGGTCGCTACAGATCAGTCTTGCAAAACCATCTTACATTTGACAGAGATGGATCAGATAGCATATATATATAAAGCAGTACTGTCAATCACTTCCACTGTCGACTGGAGACAATGAAACCTATCCACGTCAACAGTCAGACTTCTCTTCCTGTCTTCTTGCATCGCATCCTCGGTGGTATCGTATCGTGTTGACGTTGCTAATAATGGTTAGAACAATGGGCTCTCGAATCGACTAGACAGGAAATTCGTTAGCGTAACTACAAGTGTATTAACGGTCATGTCAATGAGGTTTGTTGGTACCTTAAATATGTACCTAAGTGTATATCTGGAAATTAAAGGAAAATAGAATAGCTGCGTAAAATCACCAATGCCTGATAAAAACAAGCATTCCATCTCTATATCTGTTTTATTAGCTCTTATACTCTATTCAATACTCAGAGTTATATTCATATAAATTCAAATGTTATGCAACAACAATTTAAAGTTTTATGCGGTTGAAAATGAGCCTCATTTATTGTGTGAGAAAGGCTAGTGAATGATACTAACTGACTGCTTAAACGTCAGTAGGCGGAGTGGACTACAAACCAGTGACTTAGTAGTGATTACAAACTGATAGCCTTTTTTTATTGTAAGCTCATATGCAGCATTAAAAAATGAACTTGCTCAATCTGTGATGACTACTGTGGATCTCGACTTGCCCCTTATAGTTGAAACCGACGCTTCGGATACTGCTATAGCTGCCACATTAACACAAAATGGTAGACCCGTTGCATTTTTTTCCAGAACACTATCACCAAGTGAACGGCATCACTCAGCGGTGGAGAAAGAAGCTTATGCCATCGTCGAAGCTATTAGAAAATGGCGTCATTATTTACTTGGTACTCATTTCCAACTCATTACAGACCAACGATCAGTTTCTTTCATGTACGATATGAACCACCATGGGAAAATAAAGAATGACAAGATTCAGCGTTGGCGAATAGAACTTTCTTGTTACAGTTTTGATATAATCTACCGTTGTGGCAAAGAAAACAAAGTCGCCGATGCATTATCTCGCGGATATTCTGCTTCTGTCATGGGTGAAACTAATCTGAAAGACCTACATAACTCTCTGTGCCATCCAGGAGTTGTTCGCCTTCTTCACTTTGTGCGTTCTAAGAATCTACCTTTTTCTGTTGATGATGTGAAGAGGACGATATCTAGTTGTGCAGTTTGTGCTGAGCTGAAACCCAGGTTTTGCAAAGTATCCACAGGAAATCTTATTAAAGCGACTTCTCCTTTTGAACGTCTAAATATTGATTTCAAAGGACCTCTTCCTTCAAACTCCCGGAACAAATATCTTCTTACGATAATTGATGAGTACTCTAGATTTCCGTTCGCTTTTCCTTGCCAGGATATGACAGCATCAACTATTATTAATTGCCTGTGCCAGTTGTTTTCCCTGTTTGGTATGCCATCCTACATGCATTCAGACAGAGGATCGTCGTTTATGTCTGCAGAATTAAAACATTTTCTCCACGATAAAGAAATAGTTACCAGTAGAACAACAGCATACAACCCCCAATCAAATGGACAGATTGAACGTCTCAACGGCACTCTCTGGCGATGTATATCACTAGCTGCTAAATCTAGGTCCATACCAATCTGTGAGTGGGAGGTTGTTCTCCCCGACGCTCTTCATTCTATCCGTTCTCTTTTATGTACTGCCACAAATACTACTCCACACGAACGGATGTTCAGGTACAATCGAAAATCAACGTCTGGTGTTTCTCTTCCCAGTTGGTTAACTATTCCTGGACCGGTCTTGATGCGCCGTAATGTACGTTCTAAATATGAATCTCCAGTTGATGAAGTTGAACTGATTGAATGTAATCCCAAGTATGCTCATGTGAGACTTCCAGATGGACATGAGGAAACAGTATCTATTCATCATCTTGCACCAAAAGAACATATATTTCAATCGCCCGTTAGCATGCCGATTCCAGACGCAGTACCAGAATGCCTCCAAAATCAATTTACTGAAGACGAAAATTGATCCAAACCCATCTTCTTTACTAGAGAAACAACGAAGGGTTCGTCCATACAATCTGAGAAGCCGCGAAGTCTAAACAATTTTAAAAAGTCTTGACTCCTTATGCTCTGTATTCTCAAACAAAAGGGGAGAAGAATGTGGTGTGAACATTTTCATAAACGTTTAGCATTTATATTATACACTATTCACATCTTTCATTTTTGTTTAAACCAGATTCTATACTGGAATTATAAAACGAATAAAGCCTTTATTGCGGGCCCTCAATATTCTCACTTGATCGGTGAATGTTTGATTAACTCATAAACACTACACTAAGTTAGTGAGCTACAGCTCCACACAGAGAGTATAGAAACATGAGCTAAAATCCCTGACATAATAGCTTATGGTTTTCAAGAGCATTCGGTCAGTCTTCTTTTTACCTAAAAAGCTTTAGGTAGAAAGGTTTTAATTGTCATCTTCTATGCATTAGATGTGTAGCAAATAAACTCGAATACGAAACTCTACGAATCTGTTGAGTTATATGCATTATCATATTCGTAATTTATTTAGCTACGAGAATAATACAGTATTGAGATGCTATCTAGTAAAGCCGACCTATTTAAAAAGTAAAAGTACCGAGAGAACGCTTTTACTGTCTCAGCGTATAAGTAGGATAAATCAAAACTCCTGCTTATTTTCAGATACAATTAATACACTTTCCCGAAACATATAAAAACACCAGAGACTAAAAGGCATTTCTCACGTTAATAACAACTAACAGTTTAGCCGTTGAAAATGCCTTTCAACTCATACACCTTCTATACAGGAATAAATAATAATAATAATGACAATAATAGGCAAAAATAAAGACTCACATTCTCTTCAGGCATATTCCAAAATACAGCCACACCATTACTATAGAAAATGAAAATAAATAATACAGATTCTGTACACAATGATACATCAGATCAACAAGTATCTAAAGTCTACACAAGTCTACCACAGTAATTAGGACAGGGAACACACGATCCAAATTCACTTTAACACAAATGTCAAATCAGTGCTTCTTATATGTTGCAGAGACTTGACTCTTCAAGGAGAGAGTATTTCCAAACAGACTGTGAAGCTTCATCAACAGTCGCCACAAGAAGGTGTCAAGTGTCTGATTGGGGTCCACGAAACTCTAACAGTAAAAATCGTATAAGACTGTTGATGTTATGGTTCAAACAGTTCTTCATTGCAATCCTCATATTTTTTCCGCGTTATTACTATTTCTTTCTAACATTATTTTTTTTAAATTTTTTTTGATTACAGCTTGATGCCACACCGTATTTTCAGTACAAGTATGGCATTTTCAGCATGGATATCGGTAGCCCAAATTTCACAGGCCGACCATAGAAATCGGGTGTGCGTCGGCAGGGGATCGAACCCCGGACCATGTGCATGGTCGGCGAGAGTCCTAACCACTGTGCTTGAGCCTTCAACTTTCAGTCATTGGATCTACCAGATTTGAGTCCTGCTCCACTTGGAAAACTGAATAGTATTATCAATAAGCCTAACTCATAGCAGCCTGAGACATGAAAGATCCGTTCCCGAAATTCAGTTCAAACAACACACAGAACAATAAGTATAACAAAATAAAAATATTAGATTCATTACAGGATTTCACCATGAACTGATATGGGTTAGACAACCATTCGAAAACCACCTGGGAGTATTGGAAAGCCGTTTCGTCAGCCTAATTTGGGATTCTTTATCAGTAGGCACCCACTGGGGGTCGAACTCAGGTCCCTCTGGTTACAAAGCAAGCTCGTAGACAAATACTCGCCGAAGACACTGGCTGGTGGTCGCGAGATGTTGTGAATTGGCAGAGTTTGGAATCCATGGGCCATTGGATTGGCTCCCAGTGCCTTAATGGTCTATGAGCTCCCCTTGTAACCAGAACGTCATGGGTTCGAACCCCAATGGGGGTGCGTGCTGATGAAGAGTCCCAAACTAGGACGAAACAACTACCCAGTACTCTCAGGTAGTTTTCCAATGGTTCTCTAACCGATGTCAGCTCATGATAAAATCCTGTAACGAATCAATCAAAACCCTACAAACCAATACTTAAATTAATTTAGAAAAAGACTTTTATCTATGCATAGGTGGATGACGTTTAATACAGGCGAAAATAAACCTACTTGAAAATAAATGCATCCCATATATTTACAGTAGTATTACATTCACTATACGAATTATTCAACTGTGAAACTAATAATACTTCAGATGATAATTCTGATGGTAATACTGGAAATTTGTACATGTCAAGTTTTGATAAATAAGAATGTAACATTTTTAAATCAGTAAATTGAGCAAAACCATAACCGGAGATATTGAGGAAACCAGATTGTTTGACACTGACAGCATCCTACATGTGGTAAAATAATATAGAGATATGAATATACGGAAAAGATCTACTAAATAATAATTCAGGGTTTTGTTTTCTTTTTTAAATAAGGTTAATAAGTTAATTCCTTGCACTCACAAGTAGAACATAAGGATTCAAATATTGGCGTTTCACTAGCTGTATTGTTGATTTTACAGGCTGAGGTCCAACTTTCGCTGTTTTCCAACTTTACTAAGTGTCTAGTAGATTAGACAAGGTTTCGAAGTGTATGGGGCTGGGAATCGAACTTAGACCACAGTTGTATGTTTGGCAAGGAGTACGCGTCAGTCAACAGCTGCCGACTGTACTTAGGTATCGATTGGTGCTGTTTTCATTCTCTTTTGATAGGCAGTAGTATGCAATCAGATGGCTTATGCTTATTCTTGCAATATATATTTTCATGGATTTGCAAATTTTCTTTAAACTGAAGTAATAAAAAAGCAAGTGGATGGTGATGGATACTTAATTCTGGCGGCTTAAGCTTCTATGTAATGTCACTCTAAGTGCAAAGTTTCCTTGAATTTGTAATATTAGAGTTGGGAGTGTCTGCATTGAACCACCGAGACATCTTGTAAAACACCAATGAAGATAAGGTTATTTAGCTTTCGATGTGATGACAGAATCTTAATAGTATTCACTCTAATGATTGCAAAATTTCCACATCCCATTGCGCATTATATTAGTGATAAATATTGTAGAAAAGAAATTAGAAACTAGGGAAAGATGCATACTAAAACAATTGTATATCGTCGGGAGAGATTTGTACACTTGAAAATGAATCTCATTTTATTTATTGTATAAAACGGTGCTAAATTCTTTAGGCTTCATTAAGTGGAAGAAGATTTCAACCAGTAGTGACACCTGGTTGAAAACTGAATGCCCCCCCACCAACAAACTAAGATTGCACACTGAAACCAACAAACAACAATACATGCATTAGTTTTCCAACATCGTTAATTCATCCTGTGTAATTCATCTTAAAATTAAACAATGAAGCTTCTAGTCTGACATATTCTGCTATGACTATAAGCCAGGGAAATGAAAAGTGATTGTTGATATCTCTTAACCCAACTGACTTAGTTATAAGATTTACAAGTAATTCAGTTGATCTGAAGGCTCAAATGTCAAACAAATCACGGCGGGAAAAAGCATGTCTACATTCAACTTGACTTGAAAGGTGAAAATATTATAGCAACTGTCAACAGAAGATTGAGGACGTCACTAAGCAGAGCATATCCTGCAGCTAAGCTCGTTCCCGTCTATCGAACAAAGTGCTCTTTGGTGCAATCAAAAATCGACAGATATCCTTCTCATGTTAATTCCAACTGTATATACAAATTTACATGTATCTGCTGGAGCAGTTACATTGGAAGAACAGAAGGAAGGCATGCACAACTCCGATTTTCTGAATATGTACCAAAAAGCCTATGTCTAAAGGGAACAAATGCTTTAAACAGTGCCATCGCCAGGCATCTCCTTGGCACGGGTCATGAGGTGGACGTCGCAAGATCGTTCAAAATTATCAGTAGGCAAAAGAGTTTAATTCTCCTCAAGTTTGCTGAAGCCATTTCCATCAAGCGCCTGAAACCTGATTTGTGCTTCCACAAAGAAGCAGTTATTAGTCTTTCCTTGCCCATCCCAGTAACTGGATGTTTTCATCCTCACTTTCATCTGATTGCGTAACGCCAAAAGTTTCCATTGTGCATGATTATTATCGTTTGGGACAAAGTTTCTATTATTATTAGCATTGTATGAATATATTGATTTTTTGTTTAAAAATATAGTCTGTGCAAGTATGTTAAGATTTTTCCTATAGCTATACATAATAATAATGTCTTTGGGCTGTAAGCAGATGATGAGAAGCCAACGAAATAAATGAGCGTACCATTTTATTCTGCAAAAACTGTTGTTCTTGCTTTATTCAAAATCCCATAGTTTGTGCAACAGCTGCGATACTGTCCAGACGCCCAGATGAAGCAGGTGACTGTCTTAAGGGGCCGTCTCCCAATTCTTTCACTTGAAGTTTGGTGCACAAGCCAGTGGAGCAGCAGTCCTATGGATACTGGTGACCAAAACAGATTCATATGCCATTCGATTCTTTCGGATTCTGGAGCCGTTATACACCACAGGTTTGAAATGAGAGTTTTCCTACTACTCAACTAGGCAGATCTGCATATCTGTCAGTTCGACTGTAGGCGCCAGAAGTTTTTCATTCGCCCTTTTACTTTAGTGAGGAATACCTTCGCCGACTGACGGCGGTGAACAGGATTTACCTGGCAGAGGTTTGAATGTGTGGCAACATGAGAGCATTTTGAGAGGAAGATACAGTTTACTTATCCTTGGCCGTACCAGATCGTCTATGGGGGTCACAAGCTGAATGATCACCAGACAATTTCTAACATCTGTCTGGGCTCTGTTTCAGTTACCAAATCTTTTGGTGATTAGGCATCTCTCTCATAGTAAGCGCCACGTGCAGTCTATTACATAAACTTAAACATGGCTGTTCTCATTATTTTGACTATTTCACGGCTTAGACGTGCCTTCACCAATTGACTTATTTTCTTTTTTTTAAATGATGTATAATTTCAGGATACGTGAAGACGCCCAACATAAAAAAAACTTGTAATCTTTTTATATCTTCTAGCTTTAACTGATCAAATTGTTATGACCGGAATTACGACCTAGTGGATTATGAGCGAGTGTCAACTTAATGCGCTGGCTAATCTGTCCTAATCGCATGTCAACAACAATAACTTTGCTCGCACGCAAAGACAGGAGAGAAGACTGGACGTTGGTAAGAGAGCTTACGTGTATATGTTTAAAATGACCTTGAGAAGCGCTAATGCTATTGATAAATTAAGACGGTGAACAGCCAATAGAATTGCAAAGGTCATAAGTAGGGTGAGAGAAAGTTAGGTTTTCTATGGTTTGGTTTGTAAGGGTTTGTTATGTTTTACGAGTTGATCACGGACTGATATCAGTTAGAGAACCATTGAAAACCAGGGAGTACTGGACAGCTGCTGTTTCATCCTAGTTTGGGAATCATCGGCAGTACGCACCCATTGGGATTCGAACCCAGGACCTTCCGGTTACAAGGCAAGCTCGTATACTATTCAGCCACTGGGACCCGATTCAGTGGCTCATGAACTATAACTTCTACCAATTCGTGATTTAGACCGCACTGCCGATGATTCCCAAACTAGGATGAAACAGCAGCTGTCCAGTACTCCCTGGTTTTCAATGGTTCTCTAACTGATATCAGTCCGTGATCAACTCGTAGAAAGTTAGGTCATAAGTCAATAAGTGTGGTGAGAAAAGTACAAACAAACAAATAAAAATGAAATGTAGAAAGTTAGGTCTATACATCACAAATCTTAAAACCATAAAATTGGACAGATTAAAACGCTACAAAGTGCATGCACTGCTTTATGGATACGCAGTTATCTGGCTAGCGTAAAAGATGACACAAGTTTTTTTAGTATCGAACATGCTATCTTAACTACGGTGAGATATTGTCGTGGTTCAACTGCCTAAATGAGTCAAGCAGTCAACATAAACAATCACTTCACATTCAACACTCTTAAACTAAAAAGATGGTAGATAGGAACCAGTACCACAGACAAATAATTTGATAATATACTTCACTGTAGGGTTTCATCAGTTTCTATCACGTCGTCCGTATGGGCACATCAGACAAAAACAATATAGGAAACCTCAACACAATTGTTTATCAATCAAATTTGTAATTACCTTAATCTCATGACTACGAAACTCCTAAACTATGAGTTATTGTAAGTTATGTAACTTCGTCGACTGAGAAAATGTCTTCGACAGCGTTGACCGAGAAGTAATTTGGAAACTACTTCAACACTATGGCGTGTAGTACCCAAGTCTTTATCAACCTGATTCAACAGCTATATGACAGTGGCACGTGTCAGGTGATCCACAACAGAAATCTCAGCGAGGCGACCTAAGTGAACACAGGAGTAGGACAAGGCTGTTTGCCTATTATCAGCGATGATATTTTTAATTGTGGTGGACTGGATTATGCGTCAGACTGTGCGTGGGAGTGAGAAGATAGGAATACACTGCGCTGACCTATAAGAAGACTCTAGAAGAACTGGATTTCACAGATGTTTTGTAATCAATATCACACAAACCCGAAGACTTGCATGAGAAAATCAACAAACTGGCAGAAAAAGCAGCCAGTGAATACAGGACTCCAGGTGAACAAAGACAAGACGGAGGTGATGAAGCAGAAACAATAACAATCAGTACAAATCAACATCAACGGGGGAAATTTGTCGTAGTTTACTTTCTTCACTTATCTAGGAAGCACGGTTTCAACCACAGGCAGGGGGAACGGATGGAGATGTCAAAACCGGACAGTGTCGGAAAGGTAAGATACTCCTTCATCAACCTGAAACCAGTTTGGAAATCTTCTGCACTCCACGGCATAAAGAACAAGATCCGGATTTCCAACATAAATATGAAGTCAGTTCCATACGGGTCACGAAAAGAATTTTCAACAGGCCACTGCAGACTTTTATCAACTGCTACCTTCGCTGACTCCATAGTGAAGATCAAATGGCCTGACGACCGACCAGAAAGAATTAGCAACAAGAAACTATGGGGAATAAACCAACCAGTACCCGACTGCTCAAAAAATACGTAGAAGAAAATGGAGATGAATCAGGCACACACTGAGGAGACCATCGAATGACATCGCGTGCAATGCACTGCACCGCTCCAGTAGAATCCCAATGGGGAACAACGAATGGGTCGTCAGTGTGAGGGTAGCATGGAGAAGGTCGTACGATGAGGATATGAGAGATTATGTGCAGCCGTGGACCCCGTTGAAGAGGACAGTAGAAAATAGAAAAAAGTGGAGATGTTTAGTTGAAGCCTTATGTTCCACTCGGAACCCAAAGGAATAATAAATAATAAAATAAATAAATATATAAAAGGATATCAACAAGTACATTTATGGAACACAATACACTTATGTACACACACATCTTATTCATAAACGCGAATTGGTGGAAGTTGGAATCTGTGGGCTGTACATTGGATTTCATCCCAGTGACTGAATGGTATACCAACTGAAAGTCTCGGGTTCAGTTCCCCGTGGAGTCATGGGTGCGTACTGCTGGTAAGTCCCAAACAAGGAGGGAACGGTTGTCCAGTACTTTCTAATTTCCAGTAGTTCTGTAAATGATATCAGTCTGTGGTCAAAGTTGAAATCAATCCCACAGACTATTGACACTTGAAAATTACTCACACACAATAATAATAATAATACTGACTCACTTTGTCTAAACGCTTCTTCTTAGGATGAAAAAGTCCCAGTCCAAAATTAGTCTGTTGACGATTTCTAAGTGTTGAGGAGAACGATGATGGTGATGATGATGATGACGGTGGTGATACTTTGGATACTTGAAATAAACTAGCAGTCGATAGTTTCTTATTCTGATTCATACTACGACTGGCACCGTCACCCAGATTAGCAGTAACAGTGGTAGCGTTAGCACTACTAACACTATTCATATTCATAGGATATAATTTTGAATAGAAACGAATCAATCTACTGATGGGGGCTTTCAATGATGAGGATGATAAGTAATCTCTATGCCAAGTTTGCATTACATATGGAGTATTCCAACTGAATAAAAATTTATCCCATTTCATTATTATTATTACTATTATCAATGATCAATAAATCAAGTGTAAAAAGGGCTGAAAGATGAAAAAAAAGAATAATTTAACAAATGCTAAGAAGAAAATACTGCGAAGCGTTTAAATTGTTTAAAACATTTAATCATAAGTCTGAGATTTATGATTATAACACCTTCAAGTTGTTTAAATCAACATATTGTAAATCAATAATCGCTTACTGTCATATCAATTTGAATAAATATCAATATCTTTCTTCTTTAAAATTCAGTCGTAGATTTCGAAATATTTATTTCTCGATATGAATTTAAAAAGAGCAACAAAAGTTAATAGGGAAGGATGGAATGAATTCATCGAATTTCGATAGAACTCTTCAGCTGGATAATCTAGATACAGGGATTAGAATTACATTAACCTTTGTTGCTTGTTTTAAGAACTGTATATTATCTTTATTTGAGCTCTGCATCGCCAGATCCTGTTACCTGGTTCCCTTTTCGATAATAATAGCTTTCGCAACTTCGTGCACAAGTCTTAACCTTTAACCTGACCAAATGACGTGTACCGACGTGCTTATTTTTATGTCCCATTGACCATAGAGAAGTATTTTCCTGCAAGGGTCAATGCACAGTAGGAGTTGACATGTATTCTAGAGGGTATGTTAATCGTCCACTGGGTCTCTGAATAAATGATTTATTGCGAATTAGTCTGTTTGTGTTCACTGTAGATTGTCGAGTAATATAATGCCTCTCTTAATGTTTCAAGTTATTGCCTTCAACTAACACCACTGCCAGTTAGCTGGCTTGGGACTCCAATGATAACCAACCCCCCCCCCCCAGTATGGTTTTCCTACTGGCCTACCACCTTCCTAATTTTGGCTATTAAAGACAACTACTGTGACGAATAAATCTGAGCGCTTTACTCCAGACAGCTCTGAGTAGAACTCATCTCCTTATTCTATTCAAACTGAAGTGAATAGGAGACCCAGCAAAGGAAAACAACGCATATTGCTGCCGGTTGCGGACTACGATGGAGTAAATCAAGATGTGTAGTTTTAAAGACCAATCATTTTCAACACTTCCTCCTTCGAATGAGAAAGCACCATAGCTGGTTAACTGGACATTTGACCACTATCACAACAACCCTTTCCACTATCAATATGATTTCGTCTTCACACCCTCACCTTAATGTAAACAGCTTACATTACAATAATAATCCATTTAGCTTATATATCTATGCAACAAACTTACCTTGTATAGTAGGATTACCATATACCGATTACATCACGAATTCAAGTTAACAGACACCAGTAGACACCTCAATACCCATAATTCATAACTCTGTACACTTACCAGCTCATATATTACTTATCATCAATTCTACCAATTAAATTATAGCATAATATTTAGGTATTTTATTACTGAGTATTCATGTAATCACTAATCATCGGTAGTCTGAAATCGCTCAAAACGCACATGTTGATTTGTGTAAGGCGAAATGCGATGTTAGTTTACAGGAGATCGGTCTTTGGTCAAAGTGACATTCTGCGAGTAACTCAGTGGATTTATTCCAAGAGGATATTTTGTCTAGATCACTTCTTATTAAATATTTTCTTTGACAAATCAATCGATTAACCATCCAGCCAAATTCATCAGGAAACATATGACTAAGAAAGTTGAAAAGGGCTGATCCCTATCCGTAAACAAGAAGCCTTTATACATGCGACTGTAATTCAAGGGAGATATACCTAGTGAAATAATTACGAAGAAGTTGAGCAAATCAGTTCAAAGGACTTTTAATTCTAGCAAACTACAAGTTTTATCTTCTATACGACCGATGGTGATTCCCTCGATTGAAAGATGAAGTACCTAGACTACCCACTACTAATTTTTTTACAAATTCAAACAATTGCGCTTGTGAAGCGAGTTATATTGGCCATTGCTCTAGGAACTTGCTTCTTCGTGCTCTCTCGGGAACATCTACCGGTGTGGCTAAATAAAGCTATAGTTACAAGCATGAATAGCTCCATATTACAATACCTGGTTCAAACTGGTCACAAAGCCAAAATTGAATAATCCTTCTCCATCATCTATCGGGTACCAAATAAATAGCTAAGACATCCACGTACCGCATACTCCAAACAGTAGAGGTTATTGCGATTCACCTGGAACAACCGGTGCCCTGTGTGCAAAAGAAGCAAGTCCAGTGACTACTACTACCCTGGCCTTCAGTGGAGACTATTAATTCATGAATTCGTATTATTATTTCTCTTAATTTTTCTGATATTCTCTGTATTGTTAATATTGATTCGATGTTATTTAAACAACATTAATGTTGCTAATAACACTGATTCAACTACTGTCATGTATATATAACAATAGAACCTAATTATTAAGTTATCGAAAAGAATATTCTTTGTCCAGCAGTCAGTCTTTTGAGAAAATCTCGTGAACGTTAGATCACAAAATGTCATTTGAGCACTTCTGCACTTCTTAATTTTTCAGTCTACAATTCGCTTAGTTACATTTGCTTCTCCACTTTCTCCAACAAATATGCAGGAGAAAGTGGAGATGGATTGGACACTCGCTGAGGAGGCCGTTGGATGACATCGCGCGTCAGGCCATAGCTCGAGTGGAACCCGAAAGGGAAGCGGAGAGTGGGACGTCCAAGGGTGACATGGAGGAGATCGTGTGATGAGGAACTGAAACAGTATGGATTAACATGGATGCAAGTGAAAAGTACAGCAGAAGACAGAAGCAAGTGGAGGCGTGCAGTTGAAGCCCTATGTTCCACTAGGAACCCAAGGGAACAATAATAATAATATAATACATTTGCTTCGTTCAACTGATAATCTGTATGGTTTTTCAACTCCAAGTTTATTCGTTAGATATGCCGACGAAATTGAGCAAAGAGATGTACAAATATTACAAATGTATGATCCAGGGCCACTGAACAGTGATCAGAATGGAATCCCTCATATATGCACATCAAATAGAAAAGAAGAGATAAAAAGATTGAAATCCTGGGAGTTTCTAGTTCGATTCATGGCCTACTCACTCATAAACCCCACTTAGTTTACTATCTGGCCGATAGCCCGTAAAAGAGGGAAGGTTGGGCATGAGGTTATCTACCACACACCAAAAAACACACAACGACAACCCTCCTGAAACTTCAAAGGTTTAATCCCTCCCTCTGCTCTACTCGGAACGTAAGGGATAAAAACAAAGAATAATCAAAGATTGTCGAGTGTTGTAAAACAGAGGACGGAAAGAAAGAAAGAAAGAAGAAAGTGAGCTATTGAAGTCAAGAGGACACATGCCACACTGAGGGTGAATCCTGAGCTATGCCATGTGGCGAATGATAACCGCCACCTTGACACAGTAAGATGGACACGCACAATTCAATGATGTAACTAGCTATACTGCCTGGAACAAATATTTCTGGAAGTCCTGCCACATCACAAATGTAAAGTGAATAAATGTTAGGGCGAAAATAGTCACGATCACAGTGGTGTACGTTGAGCACACTAAGTAAGCCCTCTGTATTTGTGCAAACCCCAAACGGAACACTAAAAAGCGACAATCATTACGATAAATAAGAAAAAGTCAAACGACTGTGATTCAGAAACTATATTTCTTTTGTAATTACATAACAATACTCCAAAGAGAAACTTAGAAAAATAATTGAGAAATGTAACTAGAAAAGAACAAGGTAAAGTTTAGAAGAGATATTTCACATCAGGTGCGTCAACCAGTCACAGGGTTCGCACGCGGGTTCAATTACCCGGCCACCAACTCACTCCGAAACCTCAGTTTCCCAGTGGTAAGTCCGGTTAAAGGGAGGAGGTTAGGCGTGAGGTTGACAACCCCACTTCATAAAAGATAACAACTTCCCCATTGACACCTCAAACATCAGGCTTGAAGCCCAATGTGTTTCAATGGAAACGCCAAGGAATAAGAAAAATTAACATAAAAAAGAAATATGTTAAAAGTATGAACACACTTTGTTCAAGGGCATCTATGAATGACTAAAATTCAGGTTGTTCTCCAGTGACTAAAATCTTCTCCAACTCATCTAATGACCAATAAACATGTTTTAAACGGTTTTCACTGACATTAATACGCACAAGACGAATTCCCGGCTGATCATCACCAAGTTGTACACAAACTGATGATGTACTAATCATTGAAAAAGGCAATTCATCTCTCTTGACGTTGTTATCACGTTCGTGTGGAGTATATGTGATCACATTGTTTTTATGCAAATGACCAGAGAAGGTGTAATAAATTCCACTATTGTAAAGTTGATGAATAATCTCTTTACGACATTTCTTGGGAATATTAAAGTAGTCATCTGGTTCATCTATGTTATCCAAGAAAAAGGGTATATGCTGAAAAAGGAGAATTTGAGGAGAAAAAGCAAAGAAGAAGAACTACTTATTAATATTTAGATTATGCATTTCGATTAATTTTAATGTACGTCTGGTCACGAACCAACATCAGTCAGAAAATCATTGAGAACCAAGGAGCACTGGACACATCCTTGGTGGCTACTGCATGGATGTCGTAAACAGTCGTGACCAGTAAGACCAACCATTTCACGGTGAAGTGGGTGATCATCAATAGCATCAGTTGGTAGTAGTGCCAACTAACGAATTGACAGAGGTTAGGAATTATTTCATGGATCATTGAATTCAGGTCCATGTAGCTGAATGGCCAATAATCTAAAGATAGTAGATTCGATCTCTGCAAGTGTCGCGGATGTGCACTAATGGATAGTCCCAGAGCAGGGCAAAACAGCTGCCCAGTGATCTCCAGCTTCCAGTGATTCTCAAATTGATATTGATTGATGACGAACTCCACATTAGTTGTGACAGGGTGAACTACATTAGACACGTGTGAAGAAACATCCCTACTAGGAGGGTAAGGTATAAATAGTGTTATTTCAACATACAAATCAGTCTGTTCCCTTCACGCTATTATACCCCTTTTTAAACATGATGATACAATATTTACCAACTGGTGTCATCATCAGCGTTGATAAGGTATCTGGTAACCTACCAATCGAATTCAAATTCATCAAGGGGAATAAATACATGAAGCATCAATCGAGGACTATACTTGAATAGTAATTTCCTTTACATTACAATAACTCATGATACATAAAGAGTGTAGTATGTCGATCATATGTGTCTCCCTTTAGATACTCATTTTATGTGGGATAACGCCATTAATTCAGACGTAGTGTAACGTAAAGAATGCAGGCCTATTGACTGACTACGTTGATTGTCATGGTTGGAACATTTGTCACTCATGTCAAACCAGTGATACCTAGAGTAAGATTAAGTTGAAAATTACTCTCTGTCTCTCTCTTTCTTGAGTGTACTTGTTCAGCATTCTCTTTCTGTTCTGTTGCTTCACATACGCCTTTACGAAATTCACAAATCATTAACTAACACACATCTATGCAATGTTCAACGCTAATTAATTTATCCACCTATCATCCTGTTGAATACTTGAAAACTGAAGAATATATTACCTGAAATACAACCGACATATCAAAGTCCTCATTCTTCATAGAAAGTTGTTCATTTAACCATTGTCGAAATTCACTGGCCAAGGACACGCATTTGGAATCGTCCCATAAATATTGTGTATTGAGTACAAGAAATCTCACACGATTCACTACAAACGAGAAGTAGTCATCTCCCCAGACACTTTTATAGTCTTCTATACCATTGACATCAGGATGATCTCCAACATCATGATTTCCTGGTAATACAATCAATGGGATATCACTTCTCAGACGAGATAACACGCTCAACAGATCTGACGTCTGTTTATATCGATAGCTTAGTCCTGGCTGATCATTAACAAGATCACCACAAATAACGACAAACGCTGGTTTCGGAATCAAGCGATTGATAATATTCACTGCTCTAGTCGTATGATTCACTTCTCTGTCCCAATGATCAGGTTGTGGCAGCTTCTCGACATACTTTTCGAACAAACCCAGTTGAGGATCAGCAAGAACTACAAATGAAAATGAATCGGCGACTTCGGTGGAGGTAGAAAGTGAGACGTTGCGGTTTCTAGCAAGACGCAGAGCCGGACAATCAATATTAGGAGATTCCATATTTTTAAACCTATTAGAAATAACAACAAAAGAATTAGATACTTAGTCACTGTATAAACATGAATGCAAGAGATAAATATTCTGATTACAAACTGTCTGAAAATGTTGATGACTGGTGGAATTTAAGAAAACACTAACTTACTTTAGACCGTAGAACACTGTGCAAAGTGCACCAGTTTATGTTGTAACACTTTGGAAAAGCACATGAAAGTAGGGGAAAATAATTCAATGGTAGTACAGTGGATAAAGATTTACGATAAAGGAAATAATTAAATGAAGATTAATGAACGTTTTGAGGAATTGGAAGGTCAGGAGTGAATACGCCTGCCCTATTGCATTTCGTCATCAGTCATCCGTCTTGACAGTCTGAGGAATCCCACGAAATAGTCCACACCTCCGGACATAACTCAAACCAACAAGCAAAGACTGCATGGATTGTTGTCATTTTCCGCTCTTCCCATCCGTATCTACTTTTGAGCCCGGTCTCATTTCAGTGACTCCATGGGTTGACCACTTCTCCTAACCAACCCCATGGATGGTAAGCTGTAGAGGGGATGGAAACCAACTAGCAGACATTCGTAAAAAATCCGTTGGATGTCACAAGATGATTTTTACCTGTTACAATGACGACCTCTGCCTTACCCAGACGCACACTGCTAGACTTCAGCATTACCTACATGGTGTTGCTACAGATGCTTGCAATACTACAAATATTGTCAGGATCAGGTATTTTCTACCCGAAGAAGTCAGATATTCCAGATGCAGAGTATAGTGTATTATTCAGAGACCGAAGACATGTTAGTGCAGATGGCGATGAGTTACATCATTGTATGAGGATTGATAATATCTGGCCAACCACACCACAATAGACGTAGAGTTTGATCCAGTGACCTAATAATTTGGAATTAAGTAATGTGCTTGACCTCTGTCTGTTGTCAACATAGAACTTTGCACCGATGTGTAGCAGTTTAAGTCGCCATACTCTATGTAGCACACAAAGCAAGAGAAGAAATGCAAAAGAGAGACAGTAAACAGGGATATGAGACAAAAGGAATAGTAATAACGAAGAGCAATAAAGTTTCATTGGAAATTATAAGTCACAAGGAGTGGATGCATCTGCGCCATTGAGAACGATTTTGAGCCATATCATCGATTGTCTCCAACCATCCCGAGGACCCCAACCAGGAAGTCCACACCTTCCTACGTTGCTTAAACTAACTGTTGTGGATTTCATTGACTGGTGCCATGTTTTGGTTTGACCGCCGCTAGCTCTTTTCCAGCCTGATCCTATATCAGCTAACATTGCCTGTCGCGGAAGGCTTTGGCTATGTATACATAACATATGTCCTAACCACCTCAGTCGATGTAGCTTCACAGCCTCGTCGATTGATTCCCCCCCTCCTTACCTAGGCGTCGAGTGCTGAAGGAGAACAGTATTAACTTTATTAGACGACCCAGCTGGTAAGCAATAAATATGCGTCCTTAAACCCTCAATGGTCATCATACGACCAAACTCGCCGACCATGCACATGGGTCGGGGTTCGATCCCCGGCCGACGCACTCCTTTACCTCGCTAAGCCAGAAATAACGCTGGTGAAAGGGAAAGGTTGGGCAGGAGGCTAGCAACCCCATCCTGTAAAATAAGCACTGCTACAGAAACTTCAAGCCACTAGCTTGAAGCCCTATGTTCCATTGGGGAACGTGAAGGAAATAAAAAAATTTTACAAATTAGCGCAAAATGAGCTGTTTCATCTTTCATTAATTCTTATCTCAAATGATATATGTAGGTGGTAGTATAAAGGTAGAGTATGTACTAAGTGATTTAAATAACAACTAAAGCAGAAAATATCGATGTTTTGTGGGAAAAGCGTGTCAAGCAGCACAATCTACTAGTACTAAGTTAGACCAAGGTTATACCTACCAACAGACCTAAATATGTGTAAATATTGACTGCAAATTACATAAGCATCTTTTCTGATAACCTGCCTACGTGTGTCTACGAAAATAAATCCAGTAATAACGGTAATGCCTGTGAAAAAATTGCTCACATTTACACACTATCTTAATCAGTACATACAAGCATTATGTCCAAATCAAATCATGCCTGCCATTTTGGACTTGGAAAGACGCAGAATTCTACTCATTTAATAGGTATTTTTCCTGTAAATCTATATTGTCAGGTAGGGCTATGGCTTTTAAGGTTAAGGGTCTAAGACTACGGTTAGGTTTAGGGTTAAAGTTAGGATTATTGTTGCAGTTAGGAGTAGGTTGGAGAAGTGTCAGAAATATCAATGGATCTCAAAGTACCATGACCTACAGTCACCAGAGTAAATGAATATGTCGCGCATGGTACGATTTCTCCATGGACCATTTGTGTATTCACAGGGAGACATTCTTACAACACATAAGCCACAACTACGCAGTGTAATATCAAGTTTGCGATATTTTCTAGTGTATTTTTCAACGATTATGCGACTTTTTTGCATCTGAGTTTCGATTAGTTGTCTAAGGTCATTGTAATTTTGGCTATGATAGTTTAAATTTGCCAGAAAAGCTTGAAATCTGCACCTCAATTCGTACGGTATTCATACAACAGGTCCTGTAATTTAAAGAACGGCATACGTTCAATGTCATTAGTGCGTTAGCACCCCATGGTCGTTATTTTTTAGGGTTGGCATTAAATATATTCACAAAAATAATTGCCGTATATTACCAATACTTTTATCCAGCGTACTGTCAACTTAGAAGGTGAGATGTCAACGAAATTACTAGTAGGTGCAATCTACAACAAACTAAATTTCGACATAAAAGTGAAAAATAACATCAGAACAAAGTTGCAAGATTAGCTGACGAACAAGGCTTGAAGCTGCTCTCCTATCTGGAAAATACCACAAAACATTCCCATCCTTTTGAAGGTTAACTGAAGCTAAAAATGTACTGTACATGAAAACATGAGGACAAATAATATATGGATCTCAAATAATTTATAACTGTGAGGTTGTTTAGGACATTACTTGATACTGAGATTAGTTCATTATTACACTTGTCAGAAATGCACCTAACACAACTGACTGCACGCAGGGTGACGCAAACTTAGTAAAGTGCGCGCTAACTCACTTTACCCCTCCCGGTGCAGATAATGAAGAATTGTAAGTTCTTGTAACCTGTATTTACAGCTGAAGTATGTATCTCTGTGAGTTTCTAACTTCTTCTTGAAATGGGTTCGTCGATGAGGATGATACCAACTGATGAAGTCGTTGAGAAACTAAATTTTACCCGCGTATGTTTCACATCATTTTCAGTACATGTTCGAGATGGATGCCTTATCAAACACCTCGCTAAGATCAGCGAAACTACGTAGGTTGAGGGTATATTATGTCGGGCGGACAAGAAAACATTGTGTCAAAACGAAAAGATATCCAAGATAGTTGAGACAGAATTCAAACAAATAGGAAGGCAGATTGCAGATATCCCGTACTACACCCCCAGAAACAAGGCCCACCATGTCAAAAAGAAAAACAAAACTGCGGACCACAATAGACAGACACCCTTAGGGTCCCCGCAACATAGTATGATCTGACCATACAGATGTAGTAATTGGGAAATTCAAGAGGATAGGACGATTAACCAAGTAGGAACTATATCCCCTTTATGATTTGTAGGGCTGTCTTCATCTAAAGAATGATGAATACCCTTCCGTCTTCTTGAATAGACACTCTCAGCTTCACTTGACCATGCATTCGAAAACAATGCTTCATAAACACCCCATGTCTTCCGGAATATTCAGGGCTGTCAGTTGGTAATTTGAGTAGTTATTTCGATATAAAAGTTGGTTCTCTAATAGGGGAGCCAGTTTCGTCCACATCTTATCTTTCATTTTGCTATAATTGGCTAAAATCCATATCTCTCTGCTTTTGGTTGTTTTTCGGATATTGTTTGTCATACTTATTATTTGGTTCAAATTTTTATTCATCGTATTGTAGCGGTAAATAATTCCCCAAAATTACTAACCAAAGCAATCATCACTGAACATTGGATGCTGACCATCACTGTTTAAGTCGACTTGTTTAGCTGAAGGCTTCCGGTCAAGCATCCTTGCCATTTGGTACTCCGTCGTGTCACGTTCGTGAACGACCACTAGCTAGTTAACCACTCAATATGGTTTACTATTCGGTCCCAAAATATATCACGTACTTTGGACGATCATTTGTGGCGTTTTGCTTTGTATTTGGTACACGAGAAACGAATACTTTAGAAGTTGTTGATATAAGATCTTGCGTTAGTATATCCTCGGTACAATTCACAGACGTCGATACCGTCAGCCTCCAAAGTATCATTTGCCAAACATGGAAACTGACTTAAAAAATTCTACTTCTGCAGAAGTGGATTCTTCAGTAACTACCAAAGTCAGCTTACCCTAATTTGACTGACATGATCTGGAACTAAGGTTTGTTCAACTAAAGCACTACAATGACCTGCACAGCGTTCAGTTTTGGACCACCAGGAACAGGTGTGTGGGTTGTTATTCACCATATGAGATTTGCAAGGAGGTGCGGGAAATTATACTTCAACCTCGAAATGAGCAACCGTGCACAGTGTTTAAGTGTGAGTTAATAAAACTCCTCTCTACGTCAGAACAACGTTCGCTTCAAAGGGGAACATGGGATATAGATCCCCATCACAGTTTTTTCGCCACCTACAGCAGCTTGTTGGGGGTAGCGCTGTAGGAGAGGTTGCACTGAAGTCTGGCACTTAAACTCTTTCACCACAAGGTCCAGGCCAGACCATTCACGATCTACACAGATCACAAGCCTGTTACTTACGCTCTCAGTGCGAATTTCGTCACCTTGATTTTATACCACAGTTTACCAGTGATACAAGACATTTGAAGGGGGTGGAGAGCTGTGTGGGTGATGCACTGTCCAGAACGCACGTGAACACATTGATGCATACCACTATTGACTTCAAAGCACTGCCAGACAATCAAAGGAACGATGAAGAGTTAAGGGATATCTTCGCTATAAGTAACTCCAGTCTCAAACTCGAACAGTTACCATCTCTTGTGGAAGACGGCTGAATGCGCTGAGACTCAGCGAAAGACTCCCTAAAACGCTTCAACCCTAAAATGATGAAGAGAGTAGTTTCAACTCATTAACACACCCTGGGTAGAATGCTTCAGATAAAACAATGTCAGCGAGATATATTTAGCCAAACCCTCGAGATAACATGCAGAAGTGGAAGATAGAGAGTGCATGGCATGCCAGAGGGTGAAAATAAGCGGACACACAACGCCCTCCTTAAGAATATTCTCGCAGCGTAATGCTCATTTCGCCCATGTTCACGTACACTTGGTAGATTCATTTTAATTTTATAATGGCTTCACTTATTCACACGCATCGACGGGTTCACCAGGTCTCTGGTGGCTGAACCACTTACTGATATTACGGTATCAAAGGCCTCTCCTCAATACTGAGTAGCCATGTCTGAAGTGCCTACAACAATAAAAACTGACAGAGGAGCTCGATTTGAGTCAGCGCTTGTCAACAACTTGTTGGATAGGATGCCTTCATCGACAAATGGGGCTACATTGGCATCTCACTCTAACCCCACTCACCGTGTAGAATTTATACCAGCGTTCATGCGTGGTATCCGAATATCGGTCGAAAGTGATGCCCAGTGTTCAGCGGCGAAAATGGTATTCGAAGCCACCTCAAGACTACCTGGCAAGTTTATTAGTCCCAGTGCTATTAAGAACTAAACTGACAGACTTTGGCTACAAATGGTTAACTTAAGGCCTATTCATTCATTAGAACACGCATACCGAAGGACTTGGACTCCTGCCCCCAAGTATGGGTGAAATGCAATAAAACACGATGACCCCTTAGTCCACTTTGAGTAAAAGCCTTCAAAGTCACGACAGGGCACCTTAATCATTCTGTTATTCAACCAGGTAATATCACGGACAGTGTTAGCACTGACAGACTAAAACCAGCCTATCTAGACAAGAATCCGCCTCCGTAGAGCTAGAAAGGCTTTCAAAAACGTTAGCAGACAGCACAAGTGCCAACGTGAAACCTATTAAGACTGGAAGACGAGCTGAATGAGCTACAACTCCGGCTTGTGAAAAATTTCTAGCAAAGCTACGGCCCGAATAATTGGCAGACTGGATAACTAAACTCATGTGCACGTTATAAAAGCACTGATAAATTTCTTTTTTCCAAAAACTGGCATATATAAAACAGTTTAAAGAAGCAAAAAATCCGCGTAAATATATTTGTATTTAACAAAAACACATTTGACAGTAATTTATCAGCAAAATTTTAATAATACAGGGCAGACACTGTTATGATCTTAACTGAGCTACATGCCAAATTCAGGAATGGTATCTAGGAAAAATACAAAAGCTTACATAGGAAGCTGCGTTCATGTTATAATTATGAAACTTTCTCCCCGAATACTTGGGTAAGTGAAGCTGAGAGTGTCTAGTCAAGAAGACGGAAGGGTATTCATCATTCTTTAGATGAAGACAGCCTTACAAATCATAAAGGGGATATAGTTCCTACTTGGTTAATCGCCCTATCCTCTTGAATTTCCCAATTACTCACTGAATTTAAATGGCCACATGATATTGCATTTCATTTGTCCTACAACCCACCTGATGTTTCGCATTAACAATTTAACCATTTCGTGTGTAACCAGACTTATTCAACGTTTTCAACTAAACTTTCGACACTCACGCGCCTTTTTTGAAATTTGAGAAATGATAATATCTATAGTTTCCCTGTCTGCAGTGCTTCCACCTAGGCAAAGTTACCTTATTGATGTAATTCCATTACCGTTTCTTATATACTGCTGTTCATTTGAATAACTCTAAATATCTTTACTCTACGTACGTACGATTTAAAATATTGGTGACTCCTGTAAACTGGCATTCTACACGTACCAGCAAATGAGCATATATTATTACTGTTGACTGATGAATGTGCCCCCGTTTTTTGACTGAGTTTCTCGACTGACCTGCTCACTGCTGTGCTTTCATAAATGAAGGTTTAAAAGAGCGCTTGGTCTTTCGTGTCAATGCAAGCTGTTGGTGGTTAATTAGGGTAATTATTCTGATATAAAGTCAGTTTTCAAAAACACCACCAACAGCACACACGGAGCCGCCAGTGAATACCAACCTTTCGACGGAATGAGAAGACTAGAATGTCATGAAGGTGTCGAAATCCAATCATGAAAGCACACTGGCCTGACTAGATTTCTCCACATGCACTGAAAACGAATCAAGGGATCCCAGTGGATATGCCTATGTCGGTATCGCAGAACGTTTGGAGGGAAGGAGAGGTGCCTACTGACTAGAACAACGGGTATCTTGTAAAACAGAAGGATAAGTGAGACTGTTACATAACCCCTAAGCCTGATCTTATTCTAATCTTGGTCCAACCTTTGATATTAAATTTTGTGTTTTCTCTAACTTTGGAACCTAATCTAACTGTAAACCTTCAACCTATTTTTAATGACTAAGTCTAGATATTGAAAGTAAGTGCGTCATAGCAGTGGAAAACTCTTGCAGAAAAGCTGACGCTGTTGTACAGTAATATTAACTGATGACGTTTCGAGCACAAACTATTGCTCATAATCATATCATATCAACTTGATATGATTATGAGCAATAGTTTATGCTCGAAGCGTCATCAGTTAATATTACCGTATAACACTGTGATTTATCAAAATAAAATCTTATCCATAATGAAGTTTTGTCAAGCTTACAGTAGGACACAGAAATCTGCTCCCTGCCTTCAGCCCACAAAGAGCCGGTTTTCGTGGTTAAATAGGGAAATGAACATAAATTGAATACGTGCTGAGGAGATACTTGGGGTGCACAATGCATCAAACCAGCCCCCAAATGGAACCCCGGCGGTAGGCGAGGAGCTAGGTGTCCAAGGCTGACAGGGGAAAGATCATGAAAGAAGGATACGATAGCGTGTGGGCAATCGTGCAGTCAGCCAGAAATACTGCAAAGATTCTGGGGAAATGGAAATCTGCTGTCGAATACGCAGTATTATACTCGAGACAAAGAGAAATAATGATAACTTTAAGAAGCAAAAA